TTTTTTTTTGGCGGTACGCGGGCCTCTCACTGCTGTGGCCTCTCCCGTTGCGGAGCACAGGCTCCGGACGCGCAGGCTCAGCGGACATGGCTCACGGGCCCAGCCGCTCTGCGGCATGTGGGATCTTCCCAGACCGGGGCACGAACCCGTGTCCCCTGCATCGGCAGGCGGAGTCTCAACCACCGCGCCACCAGGGAAGCCCTCATTTAACCTTTTATTTAGACAGTTTTCCTAAGCATTCCTAAAAACAGCTCCCAGCTCAGGAGAATCTTATCCTAAATCAGGATACATTCAGGCAGCTTGCTTTCGGGTTTTACTGCCTCATAAACAGCACTTCAGCAGATGCAGAGCTCACTTTATAGTAGTTGCCAGAGATGGCCGCAGCTAGCTCTGGGGCTCCACATCCACTCCAGACGCGCTCAGCTTGTAACTAACCACCACTTTACGAAGGTACCAGCAATCCAAGAGAGTCAGGATTTAGTTACTCAGTCCACGGGTTCATCCAGCCCTCCTGCTTACTCTCACTCTGACTCTGCACCACTCTTCCAGCCTGGCACAGGCAGGAATCTCCTGTCTGGTTTCCCTCCTCTAGTGCCCCTGTCCCCGACTCAGCCTGCGTTGTGTGTCCCACAGCACACCGCATTCTCCACTGCACACCTCCAGGCAAGCCCCACAGTGAGGCCCGTCAGCCAGGCCCTCTGCACGTGAGCATACGCACACACACGCTTGCACATGCACGTGCTTCTCCCTTTCCCCTCACCACGAGGCTTCAGGCAGGGCAGGCCCTTGTTCGTGTCACACTGCTCCCAGCCTCTTCCACTTGCTCTGGCTCCCCCTTTGCCCTGCCGCTTGGGGGGTCCACAGTGCAGTGTCCTTTCTCCGATTCTGAGTTCCTAGGCGTTTGATGCATCCTCCCAGTTCCCCTCCATGACGTTCCCTGATTATCTCAGGTGTCACAAACTGGAGTCCACAGTCAGAACTGCCTGCCTGTGCATCCTGGCCCTGCTGACTTCATATCTGTTGCCCTTGGACAAGCCACTTGGCCTTTCTATGCCTCAGATTCCTTATTCATTGAATAGGGCAACAGTGATAACACCGAACCTGTGTGTGGTTGTGAGTTTCAGAGATTTTTGCATGAAAGCTCTTAGCACACAGCATAGGCCACACACTCCCAATAACAGGTGCTTTAGTGTCAAGTTGTTTTAATGTCTGTTTATAGTGACACCCACTACTTAGCAAGGTTGTCAGGGGCAGGGCTTTTGCTCTCGTATCTTTTATCATCAGCTTTGCCCAGGTGGTAATGGGCCCCGATGGGTCCTAAGTGAGGGATCGGAGAGGGTCAGGGGTGGAACTTCATGTGGTGAGTGAGGAGCAGATCTATAAACACGGTTTCCAGTGGAAGACTGGTGACCTCCGTGGGTGAGCATGAAATGGAATCCACCCATTTGCAAAGCTTTGATGGGACTGCGTGTATCAGCACCCTCTTTGGACACTGCAGATGTAAATGAATCAGACCCAGGACCTGCATGCAAGGAGTTCAGGGACAGATCCTCAGATTAGTGATCGTGTGACAGCAGATGTGGTCACAGAGGACTGGGAGCATTGGGCCGGGCTTCGTGGAGGTTGTTTGAACTGGATCTTTTCTTTCTCCTTTGCTTCCACTCTCCCCTAACCCCACCCTCATTTTTAACTCTGGTTATAAGAGAAATACACATTCCCTGGAGAGATTGTGGAAAAAACAGATGTTCCTACTGGAAGGTGGCGAGTAAATACATTAAATACGTTGTCTGGTAGATACATTTGGCAGTGTGTATCATAAGATTTAAGAATTTATCCTTAGGAAATAAATATAAATGTGGGTCAGGTTTTTCATCTTAACAAGTGTTAAGCTCCTTTACTGTCCTAACAAGCCTCTGGTGCAGGCAGTGGCGTTAGCACATTATACAGGTGAGGAAATGGGGGCAAAGGCAAGTGACCTGCCAAAGGTCACACAGTGAATGAGTGGGAAAGTCAGGCTTAGACCCAGGCCCAGGGGCTCCTGAGTCTGGGAACTGATACAAACGGGCAACCAAAGATGCTCAGCTTGCCTGGGTATCCCAGAATTGCAGAGTAAAACAGTGTCTCATTTTTACTCATCAACTTGGCAAACACTTGAAAGATTACTAATATCCCAGTGTGAGGCTCTGGGTGGGTGGGGGGGTTGACTGCTGCGGAGAACATTCCTAAAGGGCAGCTTGGCGACAGCTATTAAAGCAGCAGGTGCCTGACCCTCCCCCACAGCAGCCCCCTCTAATGGATCCTGGAGAAGTGCCCACACCCATGTGGAAGGAAGCACAGGTGAGATCTAAGAGTGAAAGTTAGGAAATAATCGAAGTTAATTTGAAGCCGGTTTCTGACATCCTATCATTTCATCTATAAATGAGTGTGTTTCCAAAAGGCAGGAGAGAGGGAGGCCACCAGCGGTGAGGAGCCCCAGCTGCTGCTCCCAGCTGGCCAGCCCAGGCTACCCGGCGTGTCCTCCTCACCTTTCTCCAGGCCTGTTCAGGTGGACGGCGGGCAGCTCAGCAGGCTCAGCTGGCGCCCACAGCTACTCCTGCCCCCTCTGGGCTGTGCCCTGTCCCGCAGAGGGCCTCTGGGACCAGAGGGGACAGGCAGCAGCTCGGAGCTTTTCTGTTCAGTGTGGAACTCAAGGCCCCCTTTACTGGGGGACTTCGGACATCCATAGTCTACAACTGGAGTGGCGCAGCTTGAAGACACAGTAGGAAGTGAAAAAAGCAAGTTGCAGAAGATAGACTCTGATCCCATTTATGTTTACAAAACAAAAAGTAAGACTGGGAAAAGACGAGAGGGACCCTTGCCTAACCAGTAAATTAGTGAGTTACCTGCCCATAAAGTAAGATTGAAGGTTAAAGAGAGAAGGCAGGGACTTCCCTGGTGGCACAGGGGTTAAGAATCCGCCTGCCAACCCAGGGGACACGGGTTCGAGCCCTTGTCCGGGAAGATCCCACATGCCACGGAGCAACTAAGCCCGTGCGCCACAACTACTGAGCCTGCACTCTAGAGCCCGTGAGCCACAACTACTGAGCCCACGTGCCACAACTACTGAAGCCTGCACGCCTAGAGCCTGTGCTCTGCAACGAGAGAAGCCACAGCAATGAGAAGCCCGCGCACCGCAACTAAGAGTAGCCCCCACTCGCCACAACTAGAGAAAGCCCGCGTGCAGCAAAAAAGACCCAACGCAGCCAAATAAATAAATGAGAGAGAAGGGGGCTTTGTCTTGTTGTGTTAGGAATTTTTAGTGTAAAACTATGTGTTACTTGTATAATTAAAACTTGTAGGAGGCCAGGGCTGGTACCATTTGAAAAACAATATAAATAATGATAGTTTTAATGTGTAACCCACAGAATAAAATAAATATGTATGGGTCCATGATGATATAAATGAATGAATGGATGGATGGATGGATGAATAGGTAGGTAAATGACGGAGAAGGAACAGCTCTTCTATATACAAGAATTCCAGTTAATAAATGTAGAAGGAAAGAGGAATATAGAAAATCACCATTAGTCAAACTCCATAGTACTAATTGTAGGCAACATCCACTGATGGATGATAAAAACAGTGGGGGAATGTTTGAGGGGAAAAAACTGGATATTTGTCTAGTCTTAAGTATCTTCCGCAAGATATTTATTCATTACAAAAAGAACAATAGTAACTTTACAGGGGAGAAACCTGGTAGGCACTACCGTAAATTGGGTGATAGGGTTAACATCACCAGTAAAGAGAAAGATAGACATCATGTACCCCTGATTTGATGTACTGAGAAGGCACATCACTTCAGAAGCATTTTTCCAAAAATGCATAGCCTTAGTCTAGTCATGAGAAAACATGAGACAGGCCCAAATGGAGAGATGTTCTACAGAGTAGCTGACCAAGGGTTTCAAAAGCATGTTCATGAAAGATATGGAAAGACTGAGGAACTATCACAGGTTGGAGGGGACCAAGGAGACAGGAGAACTAAATGCAATGCAGGGTTCCAGATTCGATCCTGGAACAAAGGACATGAGTGGTGAAATTGGATTAGGTCTGTAGTTTAGTTAGTAATACTGTATCAGTGCTACTTTCCTGTTTGATAATTGAGCTATGGGTGTGTACAATACTAATATTAGGGGCAGCTAGATGAAGAATATCGAGAATTCTATACTATTTTTGCAACTTTTCTGTAAATCTAAAATTATCTTGAGGTTTTTTTTTTTTAATTTAAGAAAATGGCCATCACACCCTTGTCTCCTCTAGTCCTCAGCAACCTCTAATCTACTTTCTGTCTATATAGATCTGCCAATTCTAGACATTTCATATAAATGGGATCAAAATATGTGATCCTTTGTGACTGCTTTCTTTCATTTAGCATAATGTTTTCTAGGTTCATCCATGTAGCATGATCAGTACTTCCTTTTTATTGCCAAATAATAGTCCATTGTGTGGCTCCAACCCATTTTGTTTATCCATTCATTTGATAGACATTTGGATTGTTTCCACTTTATGGCTGTTGTGAATTGTGCTGCTATGAACATGGTGTACAAGTTTTTGATGTGGACGTAAGTTTTCATGTCTCTAGGAGTGGACTGGCTGGGCCATATGGTAACCAACTGTTTGGAGCCTTTTGAGGAGCTGCCAGACTGTTTTCCAAAGCAGCTGCACCATTTCACATTCCCACCAGCAATGTACAAGGGTTCCAGCTTCTCCACATTCTCACTCTCACTTGCTACTAATATCTGTCTTTTTTATTTTAGCCACCTGGTGGGTGTGAAATGGTATCTCATTGGGCTTTTGATTTACATTTCCCTGATGGCTTATGATGCTGAGTGTTCCAGAAGTCACTTTTAACATCCATGGTCCTTGAACCAGCAACACCTTCTGAGATTTCCCAGTTATGTTCAGCCTGGAGACCCCCTCCTTGTGAGGTCACTGTGCCTAAAAACCTACAAGCATGGGTACAGTCCAAAAGCTTTGGGGAATGAATAGGCATTGGGTCTTCAGGGCTCCAGAGTTACATCCCTTTCCAAGAGCCAGAATCAAGGTGTGGGGGACTAGAGGGTCTGTGTGTCCTTGTGACAGGGGTCTTGTTCGTGTTGAAGACTCCAGCAGCCTTTCTCATGATGCCTTGTTCCCCTTTCTTTCCCCAGGAGGGCCCGATGGTTCTTGTGACTCCAGCTTTAGCAGCGGCATCGTCTTCACTCCAGCCAGGTAAGTGGTTTGTTCTGGCCAGAGCTGTTTGTGGAAAGCGAGCAGCCTCCATCTTCCCTGGGTGCAGGAGACTGCAGCAAAGCCCTGAGGCAGACTTTGCTTGGGGCTGCTACCTGTGGGACACAGGAAGTGCCTGATGAGGGAGTCCGAAGGATATTAAGAAAGCCCACCCAGCCCGGTTCTGATGGACACATGGCCTCTTGGGAGGGATTAGAAGCTGTTTGAGGTGAGTAAATACAAGTTGTAAGAGTGTAGCTAATGCATGATGACCACAGGGAGACACTTGCAGATGCCTTTGCCCAGCACCTTTCGCTTGTCCAGGATAACACAAGGCTGATAAGACTGACCAGGGAAATGCCGTTCAAGGAGAGTCCAGAGCACAGGTAGGGAGGGTGCATAGGCTGGGATGCAAGAGCCGTCTTTTCCCAGGCGCCCAGGTCGGCTGTAATGGTGCAGCCTTCCACATGGGGGCAGTGCAGACTGTAATGGTGCAGCGACGTAATCCTCTTCCTTGCCAGCCCCCGCCTTGCTCTGCAGGATGATGACATTCCCCTGGGAGGGAATCATCACCATTCTGTCCCTGTCTGCGTCCCCTGGACTTGCCCCATGTCACTTTTTCCTTGGGAAGGATTGGCTGTGGGGCTGGAATAGATGGAGGTTCTCCTATAAGGGGTTTCTTCCCTCTGAATTCAACATTGAATGTGGACCCTGGGGGAATGGGTCACTCATGAAGAGAAAATATACACTCAACCCCAAGAGACTCTCTTCTCCTCAGACCCTTAGGATCTTTTCTCCTTTTATATCATTTTTTCATTCTTATCTCTAAGGACCTTGTGGGTGTTTTCAAAGTGAGTACTGACTATAAATGTGGACTATTCCTAAGACCTCTCCCACATTGTTCAAGCAAGCCAATAAACACTGTTCATTTATTTGTTTTTAGCTAGTCATCACACATGTCCAGAGCCTGTGTTCAGCCCTGCAGGTTCCAAGATAAAGATATGGCCCCTGAATGTGGTCCCTGATCTTGAGGTTCTCCAGTGGGGAGGCAGAGAAGTAAGGGTAGTGGTGGTTTTGCTGGTGGCTCAGATGTTGTTGGGGTCAAGCGTTGGCGCCCCAGCTGAGGCTCGCTGGAACACTGGCTGACAACCGTGAACGCTCGGGGAGGGCTTCCGGGGCCCAGCTGTGCCCAACGCTTTGTGTTGCGTCATTAGGTTTTGCTGATGTTTAAATCCCGTGGGGTCAGTAGTAGCATTATCTCCACTTTAGGGCTGAGGAGGGACAGGAGGTCGGGGCTGTTGTGTGGAGAATGGATTTAGGAGGGACTCGGGTGGGTGCAGACCGGTCAGGGGGCCACCGCCACATCCCGGTCAGACAGGATAGAGGCTCAGACTGAAGAGGCGGCAGAATATGGAGGAAGTTGAGAGATTTGAGATCTGTTTTGAAGGTAGAATTGACAGGATTTGCCAAGGGATGGGATGGCATGAGAGGAGGAAAGTGAGGGAAAGAAGAACTTCTAGATTTGGGGCTTGAGCCAGATCAGGGCATCCTGGTATCATTTCCCAAGCAGGGGCAGAAGGAGGAACGGGCCCATTGAGAGCTGGGTTCCAGGCGGCTCTGAGCGTCCCCCAGGAGTGGTTAAGGAAGCAGCTTTGGATATTGGATTCCAGAGCTCTGGGGAGAGGTGTGGATGGAGGTGCAGCAGGACTGGCCTGTCCTGTAGAGGAATCACTTTAGTTCTGAAGGCCCCGGGAGCGAGGGGGGCAGACCTGTGGTTTAGAAGCCCCTCTGGCAGCACCGGGGAGGATCGGTGAGGGAGGGGGCCAAAACTGGCAACAGAAGGGCCTGTTGCAGACTTGTCCCTAATCTAGGCCACAGGGAGGGGATGATCATGCTCCTTGGGGGTTGGGGAGGTCCAGGAGGAGCAGAGACCAGACATAACCGACCGCCCTGTGGGGCAGGCACGACCCCGCTGCCTCACGTGGGAGGCGGTGGTCCGTTCGCCTGAAGGAGGCCTTGGTTCCTGTGTTGCAGCCGGGAACCACCTGGCTGGAACCAGTGCCTTGATTTATACCCGTCGTTCAGCAGCAAACACCAGTCCTATCTTTGAAATTAAAAAACCAAATGAGAACAAATTATCTAGTGCTTTGTTTCCCTCGAACGGAGGTTTCCTCGCGGCAGCTGCCGATCTGAGTCACTAGCTATGCCAAAGAGGAGGGCGGCCTTCAGAGTCGTGGAACCTGAGCCCGGCCCCCCACCCACTGGAGACGGCAGCTGAGGACAGGAGGGTGGGGTGCCTACTTCCGCCAGTTGGTGCTGCCAGAGGGGGACTGAGCTTGGGCAAGATGGCATCTTCCAGGGACACCGAGAAACATAACCCACCCTGTGGTTTTCCAGATGCGCCGCTCCCCCAGGGCACTGCCCATGGATGCCACTTTTACTAAGTTCAGGCCAGCCTAGGGCAGCGGCCCAATTGGGGTCCCCTCCCATGGCAGAGAAGCATCCCCCGCTGGCAGAACACTGTCAGAGAGGTGACACTCAATCTGATGAAAGCTCTGGGCCCTCTCCCTTATGCACAAAACTCTAAATACACTTTCAGGGGTTCAGGGATCTCCTCGAAGCCAATCCTTGCACCCCAAACGTTTTTTTTAATCTTTAAATCCTCACTTGGACCTAAACACAGGGAGAGTAACTGACAACCCAAGAGCATAAGCCTCTTCTCCCTCCTCATGTCCCCTCGGTCCCAAGATGCTGGGAAAGCCCCAGGCAGCCCAGGGTGAACAGTAGCCACAGGGTAGAGCCATCTGAACGAGCACGGGCTACGAGGTCATCGTAGTGAGGAAGGGCTCCAGGTACCAGAGGCTGGGTTCCTCCACCCTCCAGAGCATGAGAAATGCATACGGAGCTGGAAACCGGACTCCCTGGGAAGGCAGGGGAAGGGGGATGGAGGCAGCATGCTTGCAGCTGAGGGAAGGGTTAAGGAAGAATAGTATACACCTCTTTCTCTCTGTCCCTCCCCTTCCTTCTCTCCCTGTCTAATGCTGCTATGTGCACCAGGCACGTTCTTCATCACTGTGAATCCTCTGAGCCGTGGAATCCCACTGCCTGAGCGCACATCCTGACTTCACCATGCCTGGCGGTGTGACCCTGGGCAAGCAGCTTAACCTCTCCCTGCCTCCATTTCCTCCTCTATAAACTGGATGTGATGATCTGCTCACCCCGTAGTGGTATGGAGCTTAAATGAATTAAAGCATGTAAAGAGCACAGAATGGTGCCTCACCCACAGAAAGCAGTTTACATACTTCAGCTACAATTATTATTACAAGAACCTTGTCATTATCTCCATTTTACAAGTGAGGATACGGGCCCAGAGAGGTTAATTTCTTGCCCAAAGTTGTTCAGCTAGCTAGTGACCAGCTTGGAATTCAGGCTAGTAAGTCTGTCTGACCCCCAGGCCCACGCATTTGAGCTTCATTAGTCACAGTTGGAGAGTTGCAGGAGCTTTGCATGTTGGCCTGTGACCTGATACAGGAGCCCCAGACAGGCATTCCATGGGCACAAGCTTCTACTCTGAAGCCCTGGGCCTCGCTGAGGATCAGGGACATTTAGTACAGGTCTTCTGGTATAGCTGGCTGCATAAGGCAAGCAGAAAGATCTAGAAACCAGTGCTTCCCAACTTATAGCACCTGCTGATTGAAAGAATTAGTGAAGATCTTTTATAAAAAACAACTTCGAATTCAGCAACAGTTCCCCTTTAGATTTACCTTTGTTCTAATTTGATTAGAGCCGTAACATATGAGTGCCAACAAGGGTTAGACATTACAGAAATAAAGTGCTGCTTCCCAGAGAGAAGCGCTGGATTTTATCACGATGTATTAGAAGTATCAGAAGCTGTATTCAATAAATCAATATTTTAATAGCCACAGTAGCGCCATTCGTTTAGAAGTCGTAGTACATATACTTGTAAGACCTTCATTATGAGATGCTTTATGAGAAAGTGCTCCGTGAAAATGGAGTTTTGGAGACACCTTGAAATAACTCAAAAGCCCTCAAGAGTGACTAGGCTAGACATTTTGGAACCAGTGCAGAAATGTGTTTTAAACTGTGAGTGAGCTCCGTTCTGTTCTTTCTGGGTAAGGTAAGCCAGGGCGGAGGGAGCGCACCTCCGGCTCCAGCCCAGCAGCTCAGGAGCTGAGCACAGGGTGCAGCGTGCCCGCTCTAGGAGGGGCCCAGGTTCCAGAGTCCCGGCTTCCCACCGAGCACACGCGGAGCCCAGCACACAGCAGCCGACCCACCCGGCGTAGCAGCTGAGAGCTGTCCCCTCAGAGGCGGGCAGGGTCATCTATCCTCCCTTTCCCTGGTGCCCTGGGCTGTGCCTGCTTCCCATGGCCTTCACCTCCAGCCAGCCAAGGGAAGTGGGAGCCAGGGAGAGTGTCTCCAGCTGAGGGAGTGAGTTCTCCATGCCTCATGGCCTCGGACAGGTCCCATACTGTCTCATCTGTGCATCAAAGGACTTTGACCATCTGTGCATCTGTGCATGGTCTACGTGAACCATGGGGCCTCTTTCAGCCATGAAGTTCTTGGTTGTTTGAAGCTGACCCCTGCCTCACCATCAGTCCAAAGGTACCCGTGTCTGGGGAGGGCTGCTGTGGGGAAAGTCGGAGACTGTTAGCACACACAGTGCTGCCAGTTTACATACCGGCTCCATGAAATCCTTCCTTTGTTATTTGGCCCCAACAGAGTGCCACCTGAGGGAGATGCCATAACGGGCATCGATTTCTGCCCTCAGTAGAGATGCTTAACTGGCCAGGAGTATCTCGGGACCGCTGTGAGTTAAGGAGCCCGGCTGGCCGAGCGACTGTCTATCCTTGGCATCTTGGGATCCTATTTGGGCCACTTGGATTTGGAGCACCCACCCCCCCAAACAAAGATCAGCACCAGGCTTCCCCAGTGTCCTCTCTCGCGTGGAAATGATGCTGCTGTGGACTCTCTTGAGTGCGGCCCATTAGGAGCCAGTGCCATGCGGTGGGTGAGGCCACTCTGGACTCGGATGCTCGCATTCAGATTGCCAGCTCCGCCACTTCCCAGCTGTGTAACAAGGAGAGGTTACTTAATGTCTCTGTGCTCTGATTCCCTCGTCTCCAGAATGGGAACAACATTGCTTCTGGCATAGGGCCCTTGAGGGAAGTAAATGCGGCTGTGCAGGTACAGAGCTCAGCATGATGCCTGGCACAGAGTATTTATGCAGAACATGAGTAATCATCGTTTTGAGTACCATCGCCGTCATCACTGTTATCAGAGCCGTGTGTCATCTTGTCTCCCCTACCCCGGCAAGGTTCATACACCCCACTGGGCCTGAACTGCAGGGTGGATGGGGGAGCTGGGTTTGGCACTGCCTTCCTCCCCACCAGCAGGACACAGCCGTGCTAGATCAGTGCAGCCCTGAGTCCCCCAGGCCTCCTTCCTGAGGGCTGTTTCAGCTAAGAATGTGGCAGCGACCTGCCAGACATGGGGCACTTATGGCACCCTGGGCCCCACGTGGCAGCTCCTGCTGTGGAAAGGGACTCACTGCAGACCTTGGGTTCACGGGGTCAGGAAAGAGCAGGCAGGGAAGGGGCTTCCGTTCATTCCCCACTGCTTTCTGAGCTCGCTTTGTTAAGGCCTTGGGCTGCAGGTAGGCATGTGAAGTGTCTCCAGCCATGGGTTCCTGCCCACCCAAGGAGAAGAGCTTACAGAGCACCCCAGAAGGAGCCCAGTAGGAGGCCAGTGCTATGGGGAAAAGAGGAACTTGGAGATTAGACAGTAAATCCTGGCCATCAGAGGAGGGAGAGGAGTGTCTAGGAAATTGTCAGAGAAGAAAAGAAAATGCTTGGGAAGCCCTGGGATAGCCTGCCAGCCTGCCACTGCAGAGCCTGCCACATGTGCTGCCCCGTGTGTGCGCCGTGGTCCATCTGAGCTGAGGGTGCTGAGGGCGTGAAAGACACGCTGGGTTTAAAAGACTCCAGACGTAAAAAGAATATAATGTGCTTTATTACTAATCTGTATATTGATATTTATATTGATTCTGTGTTGAAGTGACATTTGGGGTATATTGGGTTAATTACAATGTATCATTAAAATTAATTTCACCTGTTTTCTTTCTACTTTTTAATATAAAACCGAAAAGCATAAAATTCTCTATGTGACTCGCATTATGTTTCTGTTGGACAGTGAGTGTGAGAGAGATTAAGAGATTGTCCGGTAGGCTGCATTTGCCACCCTGGACTTGTCTGTCTGTGGGGGAGTTTCCGCATCTGTCTTAGGCTACCAATAGCCTAATATCCTCAGAAGACCTCAGAACTTCCAGACATATGGCTCTTGGGGGGATCTCATTGGCAGCCCCACCCAGAGGCTCACTCACACGCCCAGCCCCTCTAACCACCAGAGGATAGAAGTGCCCACTTGCACCCCCGAAACGAGCACCATGGGGAATCATCAAACTATATTAAACAGCAGTTCCGTTTAGCACTTAACAGAGCTAAGATCATGTCCTTTAGGAATTCACTTCAAATGAGCTTCAGGAAGTCTGCAGGCGAATTGGGAAAGCACAGGCATCGAGTTCCTGATGCAAATGAATAATTGAGCAGCCTGGAAATACCATGAAAGGCCGTTTTGTACAGGCGAGCGATAGTGTCCTGCGTCGGAGGGGAAAGGAGCCCCTGCCTGACATCCTAAGGCCCTCTGTCCTTGCCGTCCCCATCCCTGACAACCCTGGCCAATGCCTGGACACCGTGCTTTGGGCAGAGGGCTAAGTGTCAGTGTCCCAGCAGCACCCAACCTTCCCGGGGCTGCTTGGCGGGACTTTTCTCTGCCTGGAGACCAGCAGGGCTCTGGGCCAGGGAAGCGGGGAGCCTGTGCCCCACTGGAGCAAAGGCATTCTGAACAAGCTCCATTCTGTAGGCTGAGGCTGTGTCACCTCTTTTCCAACTCAAACAAGAATGTTACAGCTTCACAGGCAGCTCTCAAGGCCTCTCAACCAGGCCAAACGTGGTGCTGAGTGCCCTGGAGTGTGATGAGGTGAAGAGCCACGATCCCTGTCCTCACGGGAGAAGGGTTCTTTGGGTGCCTGGTGAAGGACCTGTTGGATTTAAGGGGTGTTACCAGGGCCATCCCCTGGACTCTCTGGACTTGGTGGTTTTGTTTTATCAACAAAGGGTCTGGACTTAATGCCCCGAGGGCGCTAAACAGTCTTTCAACCACGAGGTCTGCTAGGGCAGAGCTCTTTGATATCAGAGAGGTTTTCTGTGGTACAAGCCTGCTAGTGCTGGAAAGAGAAAAAGGGGAAGCCGGTAGCTGCCTGGCAGAACGGCTTTCCTCCCCAGACGTGGTTGTTGGACCTCCTACCTTGGAGAGGGAGGAGGGGAGCAGAGGGAGAGGGGCCCTCTGAGCGCTTTGCATGGTGTGTGCCCTGTCCTGCCCCAGGACAGCGGGCTGAGCGTGCGTTTCTCAGTGTGCGGGGCCAGGGTGCGTCTGCAGCTCTAGGGGTGGGGGCCTGATGGGCTTCAACCTGGCTCCTTCCTGGTCTCACCCACAGCACTGAGAGGGCCCCGGTCACCCTCCACCTCGACGGGATTGTGCAGGTTCTGAGCTGCCACCTCAGCAACATGGCCATCGGGATGATGACCAGGATCGCTGTCCTCAAGTGGCTCTACCACCTCTACATCAAGACCCCCCGGAAGGTGAGCCCCCGGGCCCCTCAGCCCTCCAAGCCAGGTGGCTGCTTCTGGGTGGAGTTTGAGGGCCTGCCCGTGCTTGGTAGGCTTCTGGTCGTTGCAGTTCTGGAGAAACCCTGACCAGGAGAGAAGTGACAGATGCCTGAGGAGCCTTCGGTGTCTTGAGGGGGGTTTGGGAGGTGTTCCCTGCAGTTGGGGAGCTCACGTGGGTCCCTGCTTCTCTGCTCTCCAGATGTTCCGGCACACAGACAGCCTCTTCCCTACCCTACTCCAGACGTTATCAGATGAATCCGACGAGGTAGGTCACCAGTGCCCCTTCCTCTGTGCCCCGGCTGCCAGCCTCTCCTTTTGATGGGATTGTGTAGCTGACGGGTGCTCATTTTGTTGTTGTTCTCGTAAATCAACACCCCTGAAATCACCCTATTCCTCCTACCTGGTGAGGTGCATCCATTAAGGGAAAAGCTGTTTACTGCCCTCAGCTTTGGGAATAAGGACGCTGTCTTTGTGGGCCCTTCTGAAGACCGAGCTGGGTCAGGGCACTGGCGAGGAAACCTGTCCGGCGGGGAGCTCCTTGTCCCTGGAAGGCCGTGGAGAGTGGTGATGGGGAGCCCAAGGGCAAAGTCCATCCCGCCTAGCTGCCCAAACTTGGGCAAGTCACTGCCCAGCTCCGCACCTCAGTTTCCTTCTCTGTCCGGCAGGGTAGTAACAGCACACGGGGTTGTGAGAACGAAATGACCCACGAAAAATGCCGGGTGCTGTTCTGGGCACCCGCTAAGCACTCAAGGAGCGTCAGTTGTGATTCATTTCAGCTGGACTTCATTTTGACCTCTAGTTTGAAATCGGACCCTGAAGCTTTGCGTCTGTTGGGGTCACCGAAAGTTAAAGGGAGAGGCTGGTCCCGTCCCAGGCAGCAGGATTAACCGCAAGTGGGGGGGGTCTCAGAGTGGGGCAGGGAGAGCAGGACCCTGCATCCGGCCGTGTCGGGGAGGGGCTCCTCCAGCCGCACCTCTCCCCACGCCATTCCCGGCAGCGTTCTGTTCCGTGGACTTCCTCACCAGGACTCCCCTGCTGCCCAGCCAAGGGGCAGGATTTGTAGTTGGGTGTTGCCATTTGCCGGGGTAGCATCCCTTCCCTCCGCCAGTACCAGCTCCAGGCTGTGTGTTGGCCGCTGGCGGCCGGCGCCTTGACCCACCCGTCTCCTCCCCACTTCTTCCCTCCTCGGGGCTCCGGGCAGCTGTGGGCTCGGTGAGGCAGCGGGCTCGCGCGCACCTGCCGACCTCCCAGCTGCCCAGCGGGAACGAAGAGCGGACGGGCTGGCGCGGTGGGGGAAAGAGGGAGAGGGACGTGGCTCATGACTTCCCGTGGCAGGAGGCGCCTCGGCCCTTCCCGGGCTGGTACCAGGCTTGTGTGGAGCCCAGGGCAGCTGTCCTGCAGCCTGACTTTGCTTCCCTGAACCTGAGCTGAAGAGAGATACAGACAGGCAGGTGTCCACCTCTAGGTCCTCTCAGGGATTCTGCACTTCCAGAAAACTCAAAGCAGGTGGTCTGGGAGTCTGCCCGTGTCCCCTCCTGCCTGTCCACCACACACACGCGTGTGCACACACACGCCACCACCCCCTTTCCCCCACCACCGCTGCATTGTGAGGCCCAGGTGGACGTGGCCCAGTTCTGCCTGAGTTAGGACTGACTCACTGCACAGTCACGGCCCTCATTTCAATACAAAAAGGGAGAGAATCGCTTTGCTGATTGGTTCCTTCCCGAGGACTGCAGTGGAAGCAGCTGAGTTTTCAGTCCTTTAAATGGAGTCGTTTAAGCCCATCCAGCCTTCTTTGCTTGCGATTGGTCTTTGCGTGCGTGTGCATTTGAAGGGAGCCGGAGGAGACGCAGTCCATGAAACAGCTCTGTTCAGGTTGCGGCTCTGGGAGCTCGATTTACTGAAGTGCCAGGTGTTGTGGGGCTTTGGGGCCCATCTTGTGGGCCTCCGGTGGGGAGGGGATTGCAGCTGCTCCTGGGGACAGTGACCAGAGGTGGGTGAGGCGGGAGGGTGCTCCTCTAACAGCCGTGAACGTCCCTGCTTTCCCATCTCTCCAGGGGAGGGATTTAAGGACCTCAGTATCAGTGGCAAGTTGTGGTTTTGCCGCATCCTGGTTCTTCACCAGAATCGCGTCCCCGAATGGCCCCCGCTGAATCTGGTGACCTTGAGAGGGTACAGCGTACTTGGCAGTGGAAATACAGCCATGAACAAGGCAAAGTCCCTCTTCTCCTGAAGTGAGCTTCCTTTCCAGGGTATCTAGGAAGTGCTGTCTGTGAGAATATCCCAATACTTCCAGGCACAGCCCTGATCTCAGATTGGAGCTCCCTGGGGTGCAAGACCCTGAAAGGCCATCTAGTCAAGTTGGACCACAGTCAGATTGGTGGGGAGAGGCCCCTTCCTAGGGAGGGCTTCACAGAGCCCCCTTGCTGATGGAATGTAACTGTGGCCCACCCTACGCAGGGCCCTACATCCAGCCTAGGGTCTCAAGGCACAGGTTAGCCCATTTGTAACAGCTGACTTGTGTGATGTCGTTACAGTGCCGGGAACTGTGCTTAGACCCCTTAGCTCTTGTATCTAGAGAAAGTTCAACAGTTCTGTGGGGGAAATACTGTTATCATTTCCATTTTACAGTTCAGAAAACACAGCCGAGGGAGGTAAGGTTAAGCTGCACACACAGCCAGGGAGTGGTGGAGCCAAACTCAGAACCGAATCTGTTTTGACTCCAAAGTCCGTCCTCTTAGTCACTTAACCACCATGCCTGTGTTTCACCACCTGTGGCCCTGACAGCCCACATCAGAACCCCAGCTCGTGTTTAGTCATATCGTCATCCCCATATGCCTTTTTCTCTTGTTCCACAAGTTCCTGAGAAGAGTTCTCTCAGTCTGGTGTGGAGAGGGGTGTGTGTATTCCGAAAAAGTTCTCTCTCAGCCCCCTGACCCTTTGTCCACTTTCCTTATTGATTTACAGGAGCTCTTTGTATATCGGGGACATTCCATTTATCATGTATGTTGCAAATGTTTTCCTCTCCCAGGATGATTGTGATACACCCACGTGCCCATTACCCTTGGTGAGAGCCACTGGCCCCCGGGGGACAGAGTGTACCCAGGTGTTAATGATGCAAGAGCTGGGCACAGGGAGGGACAGAGCCAAAGAGACCTAGCTCTGCCCACCACCACCATGTTCCACAGTCCCCTTGGCACGTGGCCTCACTGGGGTGTCTTGTGTGCCATTGTTTCTCTGTCCGCCTCCCCTTCCCCCCACTCCAGTGACAGCTTGGTAGTCCACACCCGTCTGGCATCCTCAGGTTGTCTCCGCTTTACCTTATTCAGGATAAGCGGCTGTTTCCTCAGTACCGCCTGCTCCTTGCAGACTTTATCTGAAAATCCCTTTTGTCAGAAAGAATTTGCAGGTGTCAAATTAATATTCTTGGCACTGGAGTAGAAATCCTCCCATTAGCTGGAGATCCAATGACTTGTTTTTAAGTGAAAATGCAACCCCGATTCAACAGCGCAGAATGCATGGCACGTGCACAGAGCTTCCTGCTGGACCCTGGTGGGAGGTGGGGCTGCTTCTTTCCCTGCCCGGAAGATGCCAGTTGTCGCTGCCTCCCGAGCCTGCAGCTGCTGGGGCGGGCTCTGCCCGTGAGCCCACAGAGGATAGGTCTTCTCCACGTTCCTGGTGGTGCGGCTGGCTCGGTTGCAGGGGGGTGGGGGGAGGGGGTGGCTTGGTAATTCCTCATCCTCATCTTACTCTCAAGCACAACTTGCCTCCTAACCTGGATTTAAAATACTCAGCGGGGGGGGGTGGGGCGCGAGGACTTCCCTGGCAGTCCAGTGGCTAAGACTCCTCACTTCCACTGCAGGGGCTGTGGGTTCAATCCCTGGTCAGGGAACTAAGATGCCATGCGGCACAGCAAAAAAAAAAAAAGAAAAAAAAATCCTCAGCGAGTAATCGTGGGTACGTGTCATTATACATGTGTCCAAACCCACAGAATGTACACCATGAGTGGACCCTCATGTCAGCTATGGACTTCGGGGGATATTGATGTGTCAGCGTAGGTTCATCGATCGTAACAGATGCTCTGCCGTGGTGAGGAAGACTGATAAGGGGGAGGCTGTGCGCATGCAGGGGCAGGAGGTACGTGGGAAATCTCTGCACCTTCTGCTCAGTATTGCTGTGAACCTAAAACTTCTCAAAAAAACAGAATCTGCTTTAAAGAAAAAAATATGTAGAATTAAAAATAAAAAGTCTCAGTCTAGAAGAGACCTGGAAGGATGTCTGGTGCCCCTCCAAGGGAATGTAGCATCCCAGACAGCCAGCCACCAGACCTGAGCTCGAATCACAGGAGCTCTAACCCCTCCTCACCGTGGACCATGGGCAAGAGCCTAACCGCTCCAGCCTGCGCAAAGGGCCAATGATGTCTGCACATGCCTCATAGACCACTGTTTAAAGGGACAGAGTAAAGCTCCTGGTCTGATCTTGGCCCTTCCTAACAACCTGTGCATCACCCCAAGTTCTTCAGGGGGAAATTGGCAATTCGCTCTGTTGAACTCTTCTTCCCAGGAGCAGGGCTTGTCCCCATTTGACTCATCTTGTAAAGCTTCGAGGTCTTTTTTGTAGGTCTTATTCATTATGAAGTTTACTTTCAGTATTTAAAATTTTGTTGTGACTTTGAGGGGCGTTCCTTTCTGGTAATATTTTTTCCCAAGTGACAGTGCAGCCCAGTGGCCAGGCTGTCCAGGAGTCTGGTCCTGGCTCTGCCACTTAATAGTTGGCTGGGGGATTCCCTGGCAGTCCAGTTGGTTAGGACTCCACGCTTCCACTGTAGGGGGCACAGGTTCTATCCTAGTCGTGAACTAAGATCCCCCATGCTGCATGGTGGGGCCAAAAAAAAAAAAAGTTGGTTGCCCTTGAGCAAATTACATAGCCTCTCTGAGCCCGCTTTTCTTATCTGAAAACCGAAAGTAATGGTGGAGCCACCCACCCAGGTTGTTGTGAGGATTAAATGAGATGGAGAATGTCAGATGCTCAGCACAGGACGCAGCACATGTAAACACATGGTAAACGTTAGCTCCTCTGACGCTGGTTATAATTTCTGTGAAAATGGCAGAGACACACACTGAAATCAGGAAGGTGGGCTCCATGTTTGCCCCACGTCCTTCCTGCCTCAGTTTCAGCAGCAGAAGCCGGAATGGAAGCAGGTCCTGTTTCCCTGCCTGTCTCTAGGACCACACAGGCCCTTTGCAGATGGCCAGAGTAGGTGGG